TTATATTTTACTTAAAAAGTACGTTAATCAATTCTATACAAAGAAATTTAAACTATTTTTTTAAATATGCTAAAATTGGTATAAGTATTCTTACTTTTAATTGTAAAATATTGAATTTATGAGTTTGTATTAGTTTCTATTTGCCAAATTTTAAAAAATAAAAAAATGGAGCGCTCTCTGACCGTTGTTTTGAATCAACCTTTTTTATTTTTGTTAATATTTTTTTATAGGTAAATCATTTCAGACAAAATTATAAAATGAGATTATTTATCTATTTTGTATTTTTTTTTTGTTTTTATTTGTGTCACTTTAGTTTAGTTTTATAATAATTATTATTATTTTCATTTTAATAATAAAAAAGAGCTAAAATACAAAAAAAAAATAAAAACACTTTATAGCATTTTTATATAAAGCTCATAAATGCAATCCCTGAAACGGCAAAATCACTCGAAATCCCAAGAGACAGGGATTCAATTCGTCTCATCGATGACGATGAGTAATCCGATTTGCAAGTAAAATATTAAATATGGGCGATAATTACTCGCTCAGCGTCATAATGGAGTTTTAATTGAATCAAAGCGAGAAGAGAGCACTTACGGTTCGGGTGTGTGGTAAGGGGTGTTCTTGTGACGGACGTACTGGGTGCTCTGGAAAATGCGGAATGCGAGAGAAGCAAGGAAATCGCGAGCTGTGAGCAAACCGGCTGCTGGACGCAACGAAAAACCGGTGTGGCGCTTCAAAAAATTCGACATTTCTTCCAGTTGAGGAATGCGATCCGGGGTAAAAATGCCCTCTTCCTGGAGCATTTTAAACACGCGACAGTATTCGCTGCAAGCGTGTTTGGGCATCAACTCAAGGACGGTGTTGAACACGGAGCCCCAGGTCTTTGTCTCGGTCTCGGCGTACTGGATGAAGGGGATGGGGTCTCCACTGCAAGGGAAATTTGCCAATTAACACTTCTAGGCCCCCAAAAGCATGAAATTTTGTGAAAAGAAAAAAATACATTCTTTGATTAAACTACTTTTCAAGTTTTTGTCGTATTTGCCACATAAAAATTCCATTCTATAAAAAAAATAAAAAACAATTTAAATTTTACTCAATGTTAAAGAGTGCTTTTATCAACTAATTTCAATAGATAAGGTAGTCTTGTATCGTCTACTGAAATAAAGTAATTTTTATATACTGTTTATATTTTTTGTAAATTTTGTGAAAAGAAAAAAATTAAATTCCTTGATTAAGCAACTTTTTGTCGAATTTGCACTTTATTCCAGAAAAAAGTTTTTTTTGAAAATTTCCAAAACTAAAATTATGTTAGAAATTAGTTAAAAATTTAAATCGAGAATTTTTTTTTGACATAGGAACACACTGTATATTTGAATGGAAGCG